TACAAAGATACAATGTAAGGAAACAGGAGGACACCAAAGACAAAACCTTACAGGCTGCCGGAGAGAAAATGAGGTTACCTACAGAGACATGATGGTTAGACTGACAATGACTGTAATGGCGAAAACAGAATGTCAGAAGTAGTGGAACGTGGTGTTTGGGGGTGAGATGGGTTTCTGTTTTTAATTAAATATTTTACTTCTTTAATATTTTGTGTTGAGATTAGTGACCTGATGTCAATGATGCTCCTGAAGAAATGTCATTCCCTCAACAAACTAAACATTAATCTCCTTGTCCTCAAAAGAAAAAAAAGTAATGGAATATTTTCCAAGTAAAGGGATAACTTGCAATATGGCATTCTGTTTTTTGCTAGGCAATCATGTGAGTGCAAAGGCAAAATAAAGATATGTTCAAAGACAGTTTACCATTAATGGACTCTTAAAAAAAACTTTTAAATTTACTTCAATAAAAAGAAACTGAACACAAAGTAGGATGCAAGAAGCAACAGTGAACAAAGACTCTGTTAAACATTTTGGTTAATCTAAATAAATATTGAGTACAGCCCTGGCCGGTGTGGCATAGTTGACTGGAGCATCTTTCTATAAACCAAAAGGTCATAGGTTCAATTCCCAGTCACAGCACATGTCTAGGTTGCAGGGACTCTGTCTATGTCTATGTCTCTGTCTATGTCTAGGGACTCTGTTGGTCCCTAGTCGGGGTGCATACGAGAGGTGCAATCAATGTTTCTCTCCCTCTCTCCCCCACCCAAAATAAATAAATAAATAAACATAAGTATGTCCTTGGGTGAGAATTAAAAATGTATATATTTACTACAAAATTAATGGCTACCAGGGGAATGAAAAACAAGGTGTAATTAAAAGAGGCAACAACATGGAAGATGGGAGAGAGGTGATGGTTGACTTTTGCACAGTTTAGAAAGAAAATAGAAAAACAAACTTTTAAACTTTGTTAGTTATGCAAATTCAGCTTCTAAGCCAGTAGAGAAAAAAAAGAGAGACAGGAAGAAAACGAAGCCCTGGCCAGGTGGCTCAGTTGGTTGGAGCGTCACCCCATGAACCAAAAGGTTGCAAGTTCGATTCCGAGTCAGGGCACATACCTAGGTTGCAGGTTCCATCCCAACTGGGGCACATACAGGAGGCTCAACCAATGTTTCTCTCTCACATCAATATTTCTTTCTCTTTCTCTCTCAAGTTAATAAACATATTAGCTTGGGTGAGGATTTAAAAAAAAAATGCTAATAGAAAACAGGAAGGGAGAAGAGGCAACAAATTTATTTACAAAATAAATTATATTTGTTGTAAAAAAAAAAAAGACACGGAAGTGAGGTAAGGAAGAATGATCCTCTAACCCCCGACGCCACATCCCAGCAGCGGCTTCCCAAACCTCTACCACACGGGCTACACACGGTCATACTGAAAAGGCCCGCAGGCCATACTGAAAAGGACGCAAGGCACTAAGCAGGATGGGCTACACCCTTTATGGTCCTGACGACCTACCCAGCCCCACCGAGTCCCACGACCACCCGTGTGTATCTTGATTTGAACCACCTGATAGTTCCCTAAACACAGGCTCTGCGCCAGGTCTCTAGGACCTGCTGTGCTGTCTAGAATGCCCTTCTCCTCTCTTCTGTACCTGGCAGGCTCCTAGTGTTTTGTAAGACATTCTCTAAAAATGAAAACAAAAACAAGAGCCAGCTTTTCTGTGACAGTTTCCTTGACTTCCACCCTTCTGGGCACAGTAGTCATTTTATATTTCCATAGCACTTTTGAACATACTTCTATTGCCCAATTTTCACAGTGTTATAATTATTTAAATGTCCTTCTTCCTCACCTTGAGCTAATTCATCTTTGACTCTAGCACCTGGCGCACAGCAGGTATTTCATAAACGCTTACTGAGTAAAAGATAACTGGAGGGTGACCACAGAGAGTTTCTGAACACAACAGGCGGGCACCATCGCTCAGTGGCCCCAACACCTGCAGCTGTGTCTCACCTCCACAATAGTCTTGGTCACAGTAGACCTTCCTCTTCGAAGTTCATTGGCTTCTCTTTCTACAAAACAGAGCGGTACTTCTCCTACAAGGACCAGAGAGTCACTCATGTCTGGAAATATAATTCCAAGGCCCAGATCTTCCAGATTTTTGTGGTAACACCTAAAGGGATAACCTCAAATGTAAAAGTATTACTTCATTCGCACTTCCGCCCTGGTTCCAAACACCGGCTAGTTTTTCAAAAGCTGCTACAAGCTTTGTAAGTTACACTGCTTTTCTCACATTTATGAGTAGTTGTTTAGGATTTTATTATTAAATTTCCTTTTTGAATTACACTAACTTTCTTTTTGTCTTTTCCGTTGAGAGAATCAGTTTAGGTCTAAGTCTTAGTCCTAAGATTCCACTCTTCACTAACTTCTCGTGCTGGCGCCTAAAGGAGTTTGGCACAAATGAAAGGGCTGAGATGTTCTGAATCACCATTAAAGCAGGGAGGTAACTAAGAGCCCCAGGAACTGAGGAGTCCTGATGAAGGGGATGCTAATAAATGGATCTGCCTCTAATATACATTAGGCTCCAGGGGAAAATACTTACTGGCAGTGGCGTGTTCCAAAACCTGAAATAAATTCAGAGACAATTCTCCCTTTTTCATGTCCAATAACCTGTGTGCCCCAAAGCAGGAACGTGTTCCATCTTGTGCTTCATTACATGATTTGCCCCTTCCTTGCGGCCCAGTGTTTCGCTCTCTTCCCAGTGTGACTATGATCATGAAAACTAAGAATCCAGAACGCACTGAGGTAGAGCATAATGGAAGCAATTACTTCAGTAACTCTGCTTTCAGAAACAGCACAGCATAAACACGGGCTGTTCCAAGAAATGGTAAGAGCACTCAAAGCCAACTGCTGGAAAAAATTATCAGGGAAATTCTATCCTATACTCAATAGCTGTAGTATAGTGGAAAGAACAGCATTTGGAGTCAGAAAACCTGCGTCTGCGTGCCCGCTCCACCACTTGGGCATCGTGATGGCCTTGGGCAGTCCTGTCACCTCTCTCAGTCCCAGGTGACTCAGGGAACAACAGTGTGCTTATCCCCCACAGAACTGCTGTGAGCATTCCCACCCTCAACAGCACATCCTCGCGGGGGCACTGACCGCAAGAGTCTCCTCTGCTCCTCCGTCACTGTTATTTCCAGCGGAGGACTTACAGTGGAAGCCAGTAGTTTTTTCCGACCAGAGCCTTGTGGCTGTTGCTTCTCATAGGAATCTATTGGGAGAAAGACAAGTGGGTTAAGAGTAGGAAGTGAAGTCTTCTAGATTCAGATAAAAATGAAGCATGGCAAGCCGCAGTCATATGATCACTGTGCTGTTTAGCAGTGGCTCGACGGACAGTTTTTAGGCTTTAAAGTTCCATTATTAAAGTCAAACTAGTGAATATCCAGTCTGTTTATTCGCGTCAGCCGCACTTTCAAAAGTAAGAAATGTAAGACTTAGATCTTGTATTCAAGTGAACAACGCCATGTTCCCATACACAGTCCCTAAATGCGGGTTCAGTAACACGGTGAGTAATGTGCATGGCCGAGGAAAGCGGATGGGCTCACTGCAGTGCCGTGAAGGCCTCCCGGGCCTCCCGAGGGGTTTCCCGGTCTTTGCAGAGACTGAGGCATTCGTACTAGTCTCAGATGGGCCGACAGCAATACGTTTTTACTGCAGCTTTTCCAACCATTAGTCTTCGTCTTACAAGAAAAAGTGACCATGGAAGTGACATCTCTGCCATTCTAGTCCATGAAACACCTCCTCACCCAGCTCTCTGACATTCGGCTTTTCGTTATTTGACCACAGGAGTAGAGACTTTCCTTTATTTTACCTCTTGGGGCGCACACTGCCTCATGAGAAGACAGGGTCGCAAAGATTAGAAAGCACACACCGACTTTGGGAGGTACACAACAAATTAGTGACACTGGTGGCCTCTGGGGAGAGAAACAAGGTAAGGGACAAAGGTAGAAAGAGGATTTTATTCTACTCCCTTTTGTACCTTTCAGACTTAAACCTATTTGATTATACTACTATTCAACTACAAAATTTAAAATAAAAACAATTTATTGGGCTTTCTGAGCTGCTGGTGGTCTCTGCCCAATGAACTGTGAGGAAGGCGTACCAAGATCACACGGGCAGCCCTGGCTGGTGTGGCTCAGTGGACTGAGTGCCAGCCTGAGAACCAAAGGGTCACCGGTTCAATTCCCAGTAAGGACACATGCCTGGGTTGTGCGCCAGGTCCCCAGTAGGGGAGAGCATGAGAGGCAGCCACACACGAGTATTTCTCTCCTTCTCCTTCTCCCTCCCTTCCCTTTAAAAATAAACAAAAATCTCTTTTTTTAAATAAAAATTTTTTATTTATCTTTATAGGGGAAGAGAAGGGGAGAGGGAGAGAAATATCAATGTATGGTTGCATCTCGTGGTACCCTGCTGGGACCCGGCCTGCAACCCAGGCATGTGCCCTGACTGGGAATCAAACCTCGATCCTTTGGTTTGCAGGCCCATGCTCAATCCACTGAGCTACACCAGCCAGGGCACAAATAAAAATCTTTAGAAAAGAAGATCCTATGGACATGTGGCATATATTCGTGCTGGATGTCACAATGAAGAAGCCTAATCCTTAGATGCTGAGTCCTAAGCATTGATACATATACAGCGAATGCACCTCTGATGATGTAAGATCCATGTGTTCGAATTAGTGAACTACGACATTCTTTCAGTTATAAAAAGCCAACTGAAGGACTTCAGCTTAATTTTTTAACCATATAATTTATTTTCCTCACAGCAGTCACAGTTACTAAAACTCTCGCACACTAATTCAGCGGAGGAGTCCCACTCCTCTTCCAGCCCAGACCGACTCTTACCGATAATGAGCTGCTCCAAGCGGACGCGCTCGTGGGCGGCGTGCTGGTCCACCAAGACTAGCAGGTTTCCACCTGGAGGGTTGTCAAGGGTTACTGGAGTGTCAAATGAGCCGAGCAAGATTAAAATAATCATGTGTTGAGGGAGAAAAAGGTTAGTTCAAACCACTTAATGAGGTGAGGAAAAGAGAAACATACTGAGTAGTAACAACTGTATATTTTATTTCCTAAAAAAACGAAATTATGGGGAATAATACAACAAATTATCTCTGATGAAAAACTCTTTAGTTCATTAGTATTTCATTTATAAAACAAGGTTAATGCCTCACATTTTAATCTTTAAATACTGGTTTTGCTTTATTAATTAAAATTTGGTACAATGAAGGATCATTAAACAATACATAATTATAATCAGCTAGGCTTGATCTGCAAGCTGTGCTGGAACCGATGAAGAATGTAACCCTACTACGTTCTGGACCACAGGTCAGAATGTTTTTTTCTGTGAAGGGCCAGAGAGTAAATATTTCAGGCTTTTGAGACACATGGTTCCTGTCACAACTACTCAACTCTCCATTTTGAACCAAAGCAGCCACAGACAACATGTGAATATTATAGCTATGTTCCCATAAAACTCTACATATGTGTAATTTTAATATATCAAGATTTTTATTTTTATTTTTTTTTGCTTTTTTCCCCACCACTCAAAAATGTAAAAACCACTGACTGCTCTCTACCTGGCAGTAAAAGCACAGGCAATGCTGGGAGCCGGCCCATTGGCCATGGGCTGCCCTGATTCAGAGTCAGGCTTCCCATACTTTGACAGGCACCCCGATCACCTGGAGATCTTGTTAGAATGCAGCTTCTGATTCAGTGAGGTAGGGGTGGGACTCGAACTTATGCACTTCTAATAAACTCCAAACTGTTTCTACTCAAACTACAGACTTTGAGTAGAAAGGCTTTAGGCGTTCAAGTGCAAGAGAGGAGGCAGAATGTCCCGGCCCTGAAAGCCAAAACTGATCTTTTTCTTACTGACAGCAGGACTGATTCTCACTTACATCACTACATCTTTTTAGCTTGTAATTTTAATACTCTTGGCCAAAAAGCTGAGGTTTATTGCTACTGATTATACTGAAATAAAAGTTCTCTTGAATTTGATCAAAATAGATAATGCCTGCTTTCCCTGTTTCTACTAAAAAATTATTTCTCTGACATTATCAAATTCATGGCATGAGAGCTTAAGATTTAAAGAAAAAAAGGAAATAATTTTTCTGACAGCATGTTCGACCACAGGAGCAGGCCCCAGCATGCTGACCGTTAAGCTCCTCTGAGAATAGAAGCAGTTGCAGCTGGTGGTGATGAATACTGAACATCCTGTGTTGGGCAAGACAATGGAATAAATAATGAATCGTGAGGGAGTGACCTCGCATTTGAAACTAGAGCCAATGTGAATTACCAAGAGTCCGTGACCCCGAAAGAGCCAATCCTGTCCCTGACTCCGGAGGAATGGTTTATGGTTTACAAAGTGTTCACGACCTTTTTCACTCCTTGAATGATGCAGAATATATCAGAGTAACTTACTAATGCTGGAAGCCGGGCAGGGGTTCCTATCTGGTGTATTTCCGGCATGTGTGACAGTCATCAGGTATGTAAAAGGCACTCAATATTGACTTACAGAATAAATGAACGAGTCCTTATTCTTTTATCATAACTGAACACGTTATTTTACTGTAGGTGGAAGCGTTCAGTAAAAAATGCCAATATATGACAACAATTTCAGTGTAATTTAAATAATATATTTGTCCATTACAAAAATATGTGCAGATATTAAGATACAAGTCAGCTCATTATAGGAATAGGTTGCCTTTCATATGCATAAGCAGCAGTAAAAACACATTTTGATTTAGAAAAATGGATTTATCTAAGAGCACCCTTTGGTGGCAGCTAACCAATACAATGATAATATAGAATCTTAAGAGAAATTTAGACGCGTCTCTTTTACTTCTTTGAACATTTATAGATTTTGCAGCTACACCCATCTCAGATGCCATTAGTTGAGATTTGGATATTTTAACAAAGAATTCCAGAGAATCAAAGCTTTAGAATAAAATCTATTCATTTTCTAGGGACAGTAATACTATAATTTGACCTTCACTAATTCCATACTTATGATAATTATGACAACATTTTGGTTAACTTGCCTTTGGTCTACCATGGCATTTATTAGAAAAGCCTACATTGTAAACATGACAAAAGGAAATATTTTGAAATACAAAGAGAATGAACTGCTTTTGAACTTCAGAAGCACTTGCCTGCAGGCCCCCCCCAAACTGGAGCCAGCACGCCCACTTGTGCTGCGGGCTCTCTGCCACTCAGGCCTCTTCTGGAACCTTATGGTATCCAGCATTGTCAAAGTGCTCAGGAGCCTCCCAGTCTAAAGGGAAAAAAGAAAAAAGCCTCCTCTTGCCCTCACCCTCTTTTAGTCTCTCTCTGCCATGTCAGAGATTTTGGAGTCTCTCTCCTTGGAGTCTTTCTCCTTGCAGTCTCTGAGAGTCAGCAGCCCCCAGCTCTTCTCTGAAACAGTTCCTACCTGAAACAGTTCCCACCTGAAACAGTTCCCACCTGACTTCCACTGTCACAAAACTGTGCAGATCATTTTGGCCCTCATCTTACTTAACCTCATGGCGGCATTTATATGAAGTCTTGGCTTCGCAACACAGCTTTTGTCTACTTTCTTCCTATTCCTCTAGTTCTTCCTGAACAACCTCTTTTGCTGGTTTACCCTTTCCTGACTAGGTTTTAAAAGTTAGAATTATTCTAGATTCAGCATCTCTCTCCGTTACCCTTCACTCTTTTTCTAGTTAAGTTACACTGGTGACTTCAGTGACCAACCTTCTGCTGACAACTCAGATTTACATCTCCATATCAGAATGCTTTTCATCAAGTCCCAAACCTGTAAAATCCAACCATATTCTTGACATCTCTTCTTGAACATTTCAACCGGATTGCAGACTGAACTCATGATTTTCTCTCTCTGCCTGCTTCTCATCCAACCTCACGATTTCCTACAACATCATCTACTCAGTTACAGACATCAGAAAGATGAACAGTGAAAGGACAGCAAACTCACAGTTACTAAGAACTACACCTAAAACAAAAGCAAACTAAGAGGACAGCTATATCAGGAGCAGAACCATGGAAATGAAGATCACATGGAGGGTTAGCAACAGGGGAGTGGGAGAAGGTACATAAAATAAGTAGCATAGACAGTAGGTAGAAAATAGATAGGGGGAGGGCAAGAATAGTATGGGAAATATAGAATCTAAAGAACTTGAGACACGGGGTCATAAACTAAAGGGGGGAATGGTGGGGGAGGGGTGTGCAGGGTGGAGGGGAATGAAAGGGGGAAATAGAACCAGTGTAATGGCATAATCAATAAAATATATTTTTAAAAAAAGAAAACCAGGAGTCATCGTAGATACATCTTCCATATACCCAACCCACAACCAAACCTGTTGGCTTTACCTCCTTGATCTCTCTCCAAAGCACTCACTCCCCTCTAGTCCACCCTGGTCCCAGCTGCACTGCAGTGTCCTCCTGATAGGCTCTCTGCAGTGACTGGGACTGCACCCCCACGCCCGATCCTTCTCCATACTGCACCCAGAGCAATATTTTTAAAACACCAATATGATGTAACATGAGCCACCGCAAAAATAACATCAGAAAGACAGTAAAAAAAGAAAACAGAAAGCTTTCAACTGTTTCCAGTTGGTACTGGGACAAAGAGAAACTTGAACTTGGCATTTGAGATCTGGCCTCATCTTCTTGCTCTCACTCCAGTTGTACTTGCCCGGCTTCCCCCCACTAAAGGAGAGGGAATCACAAACTGCATGTTACTCCCTCTGCCAAGAACACGCCTCCCTCTCTTCCTCCCCTAGTTAACTCTACTCACACTTTCTCTCTCTTCTCTCCACCAAGAAAACCTTCCTTGACCCCCCGACTACATCAGATCTCCCAATACAGGTTCTTGGAGCGCTGTTTCCCTCCTGCACAACTCTAGCTGGAGGCATTGAACACTTGTGTAATTACGTGTTTCTCCTCCACGTACTCCCCCGCCATTGGGTCCTAGGGCCTAATACAGCCCTGGGCATACGATAGGCACCGAATATTTACTGAATGAGTTAATATTATTTACAAACTATTACTGTTTTAGTAAAGCAGGTCACCAAGAAATTGTATTTAACTTTTGACAAATACGGTATAGTTCAGAACTTTCTATTATTATAAAGGGAATACATAAAAACATTATTTAAAGGTCAAGCAATACAAAATATTTTGAAGAGTAAAACGACATTCTCCCTGTGCCTACTTCCATTTTCACTCCCAGAGTAACTACTGTTTAACAGCTTAGCATGTACTCAGATGTGTGAATTATATGTATTGTAATGTAGTCCATGTACAAAAATAACCTTACAGGGAGACTGTCAGAGAGTAGCTGGGCATCAGTCAAGGTTGATCTCCATTCTTACCTGCCTCACCATTCTCTTCCATCTTCGTGTTCATTACACAGGCAATAAACTTTTTATCCACTTGCTGGAGAACCTGCCATACATTGAAATAAGTGGTATGACATTAAATAAAAATTAACGAAGGCTTATCTGTGTATTTGGAACTGTTTGCATGGTAACTTTCACAGGCGCTGATGAGAAGCGCTGATGAACCCAAGGGTGTCACCAGGAAGGAAGGAAGAACAGACAGACAAGCAGAGTGATCAGGAGACACACAAGGAACGCAGACTGGGATATGCTCACAAAACTTTAGAGTAGACCTGAGATGTTCCCAACAGAATGACCCTTCTTAATGTGTAACATAACCAGAGAAGTATTAGTATGAGCAGAGATCACTGACACACAGAGCTGAAATAAATTTTAACAATTTATACAAAAGCAAGGAAAATTATTTGAAAGAGTTGGCCCATTAAAGTGGCTGCAGGCCTTGGGAACTCCTCTCTGTCCAGGTGTCGGCGAGGCTGCCCTCACACCCCTAATCTGCACCTCTACTCCCAGGCTGTCTCACCTCCTAAGGTGTTCCCACACTGACCACAGGGAGGCAGGGCCGTCCAGAGTGGTGTGGAGAGAGGGCAGCCTAGAGAAGCAGATGAGCCCAGAGGCCACTCTTGCTAATGGAACTCCTTGGTCTGGGGCGTCTCCTAAGCCAGGTCATTTGTGGCCTCACACAGTACGGGGTTGTTTAAAAAGGAACATTGTTGCCCTGGCTGGTGTAGCTCAGTGGACTGAGTGCGGGCCTGCAACCCTGAGGACCACGGTTTGATTCCCAGTCAGGGCACATGCCTGGGTTGCAGGCCAGTTCCCAGCAGGGGACACACGAGAAGCAACCACACAATGATATTTCTCTTCCTCTCTCCTTCCCTTCCTCTCTGAAGATAAATAAATAAAATAAAAATAAAAAGGGGCATTGTTGCACATTTGAGGATAATATCTCTGTAGCATCTGATTTATAAATTATGGTCAAAATATAAAGTTGATACAGAAACCTTGAAACTGTGAGCATAAACCCATAATTCATCCCACCAAACCTGCTCCCCCTACAAAGGGCATTTTTTTCTTTGTAATTAATTTAGCCCTTTTTATTTTCTTCTGACGATGAAGTTCCAGTAGGATTTTAAAAACCACATGTGCCTTGACCAGGGTGGTCCGCATCGTTAAACGAATCAATTTCACAAGAGTGAGTCTAGCTTGGGGCTCACATATACATTTTTATGAGCTTTCGAAGCCAACCTTTACCTGCACCGAATGGATCATGTCTCTGGTGAAACGGTAAGGGTACAAGACGTTGTGGACTTGAACCGCCAGGCTTCCGGCCTGCCCGCTGCGTGCGTCCACGGCCACCTGGGAAGACCCGGCACGGATGTTACTTAAATGTACATTTTTATGTCTCCAGAACTGTTTTACCAAAGGTCTCAAAGTGCTTTAAAAACACTCATTTTCACAGAACCTACTGGAGGTGGGCTGAATTCAGAGAACTTAGAGAAATTCGAAAGGCCATAAGAACAAAATTACTGACGGAAACTGGTATTACTTCAGAATAACCATCTGTCTAGGCTCCGTGATCAAGTCCTTAAAAACATCGTAACTGAAGAATCGGTAATTAAATGCTCATGTGTCCCTCACGCTCATTACAACATGGTACGTTCCGTGATAACCCACCGACGGCAGAACAGACACTCAGTTCCAGTGATGAACTGTTCCTCCAGTGGGAGACTCACCACTTCATTTAATAACAGTTTTTATGGTCCCCACTCGACATATCCTGCCAGAGGCTTTTGAGAGTGGTAAACACTTTCACTATTCCCACACTGATTACGTGTTTAATCCAAAAGCAAAGCTGAGCTCCTAAAATGCTACGAATTCTGATCCTTCCTTTCCAAAGTAAGATTAATTTCCAAATAAATTATGTGGAAACATACCTACTTTCCATTCATAATTACAAATGGGAAAGCCAGTCATGCCCATACCCAGCTTAAATGAAATTCAATTAACGAACCGAGAAGACCCGCCAGACCCACCTCTGGATAACGGGCAAACACTGGGTTGTCCCATTCCGAGAACAGAGACCGAAGTGACTCTCTGCCGACAGCGTCCTCCACAGTACCTAGTGCAAACGGGGACAGGCCAAGTCGGCATCAAGAGCCTTGGGGAAAAGGTGAAGGGCATCTCGTACTTGCTGTGGCACAGCCTAAAGGCCAAAGATCAGACACGCTGTCCCGGCACCCTACAAAGGTCCCCGGTATTTACAAAGGTTCGGAGTCTGCTGTATCTCTAAATTGTTTTTATCTGTTACTTTTAACTGGAGCTGATGACCGTATCTTCTGGCATGATGGCTTTTTCTCCAAACTGTTTTCAAGAGCTATTTCAGAATACAAGTCCAGAAGAAACTGGTTCAAATTAGTGGCCTCACTTCCTTTAGAAAAAAAGATATACCTTATCTATTTTCAAAAACTAAGAAAAGAAAAAGTGACAAATGTCCGTAGTTTTTTTTAAAATAAGAGTTTTGCTTACATAAAACTACGGCAATATGGAGCACACTCCAATCTTTAAAAATAAGAAACAATTTCTAAATCACAAGGCACCAAAGACTGCATAATCACCCAGTATTGATGTGAAGTCTGGGAAAGTAATTTCTGATCTAAATGCATGCACAGAATGACTTAGTTCTGATGTTAAACAGGACCGTGGGGCATTCCTGGTTCCAGTGAGGCACAGCTGGCACTGATTAAGCTTAATAATACAGCCCTGCTTTGCTTTTTCTCTCCTTTTCATTTTTTTAGTTAGGTGGCAAACGGTGTACTCAGTGTCCCAGTGATCCGTCATCGCCCCTACCTCTGTTATGCTGTCTCATCAAAGTGCTCTCTTCCCGAGCTCTAGGAAGAAAAGGAAGAACAAGGTCGCTTCTAAAAGGATGGCACCTGTACTGAGACCCTAAATGTAAAAAAAGGAAAACCTAGGCGTTTGAACTCACAATTTAAATAAACTATTATGAATTAAAATCTTTCTGTACAAACTGAATCAAGGTCTAAGACAGACTGCGAAACACTAGATCAAGAGTCAAAAGTTCGTTAATGAAGTGATTCTGCTAACTTAGAAGCCTCCATTAATGCTTCATCTCATTACCCATCTGTACCAGACAGAATGTGGAGTTAAAAATCTGTACCTGATTCTCGGAGCAATTTTGCATGGGGGACATACAGCAATATCTTGAAACACTTTTGGCTGTCACGGCTTGGGCGAGGGGTGCTGCTGGCATCTTGCAGAAGAGGCTACGGTGCTGCTAACACCCTATAATGTACTGGACAAACTCTACAACAGAACTATCTAGTCCAAAGTGTCAGGAGTGCCACAGTTGAGAACCACTGTATTAAACACATAGTGGTACTATTGCCACCCTTCACTAGTGAGTACAACCTTCACAAGTCCCTGATTTATGTCTCTTATCCCAATATATGTATCCATAACAACATTTACCTCATCATATTGTAATTATATTTACATGGCTATCTTCTATCGCTTCTCAGCCTTTGGCTAAGATCAAGAGCAGATAGCTATCTGCCCCGACAGGCTGCAAACTCCCAAAAGCAGTCAGTTCATCTGCAATGTGGCGGGCCTAGTGCTGTGTGAACACCAATAAATGAATAGATATACGAGTAATAAGTTCTCAATTTAAACTCCAAAGTCCAGTGAGATCTGGCCTGAATGTACCTTCCTCTCTGAAGGATGATCAGATTTGTGCTTTAGAAACAATGCTGAATTTGACCGTTTTTTGAACAGGGGCAAAACATAATGAAACTATTGTTTCAAAAAGATAAATCCGTTGGACAAAAGCTGGGGAAGATTAGTTCAGAATGATAAAATTAAAGCAGGAGTGAAATAAGGTTGCAGAGTTAAAGACACTTTAAGAAGAAAAACCGCCAGGGCTTGGAGACGTGACACAACTCTTGGGACCACCTTTCTGCATCCTCCTCTGCAGTTACACTGACCTCTTAACAACTCATTTCACATTTTTTAATCCTCGGCCAGTGATATGTTTCTTGGTTTTAGAGAGAGAAGAAGAGGGAGAGGGAAGTAGGGTAGGGAGGGAGGGAGGGAGAGAGAGGTACAGAGAAACATCGATATGAGAGAGAGACATCAATTGGTTGTCTCCCTTACATGCCTTGACTGGGGTTTAAACCCACAACCCAGTGCCCTGACGGGGCATTGAACCCACAACCTTTTTGATACATGGGACAACACTCCAACCAACTGAGCCACCCGGTGGGAGGCATCTTATGTTTTTATGTATAGTTTTTATGTATAGTCTTAATGTCCTGCTATATACATCAGCCATTTCCAGAAAGGTGGCATTTCATGTATGGAGGGTACTTAGGAGCCATCTTTTCATGGAACTTGTTTCTATATTCAAAATACTTTATTTTTCATCATGAAACTAAGTCAACATGACCCTTAAAAGTTCATTACAAGACTTGCTAGTACAGAAAGTTAAGTAGGTTGAAGTGTTTTTGAAACATCTAGATGTATTTAACAGAGGCAGATGTGTATGCTGAGTTATGGCAACCAACCAAGAGTTTCCTCTTTGTTTAGCAACAGCCATCTCAGTTTAATGAAATCCAGTTATTTTTTATTACCGTATCAGAAGCAGTTGCGCTTCAGAAAGAGGAGGTGCCCGTTCCTTAGATTTACCTCTGATAAGTATTCAGTATAAATCAGGAAATGAAACTACACAGATTGAAAAAACCACGTGTCTTTAGAAGCAACCTCATGGTCTCAGGAGCACGTTGAAAGAAAAGAGTTTCCTCCTACTTAACACTTTGAAGTTTACTACGGTGATTATTTTTTTCATAAGGAAAAAAACTAGAACCCACCGAAGACTGAAGGTCTTATTTAATCTTAAATCAGAACCTCCTGCCAGAGACATTAATCCTAAAGAGAAATTATAAGTTGATTTGCAATTACATTCATGTAATTTACATTCTTTGGCAGCATTCAAGGCTTTTAATATGGATGCACACTTAATGTTTATCCTCCTGGTACAAAACCAAGATTATAGCCAGTTGGAAATCAGCTTTACCATCTCCCAACATCTGGCTCTAAACACACAGCCAAAAATGTCACTTTTAATGTTGACGCAGACCTGAGAGCTCAGAGTCCTAGTCTAGCGTTTGATGTAGCCTTGTGGTATGGTCTAAAAGCCACATTACCATCTTCCTGAATAATAGCCACTTATACAATAAACAGATCAAGTGGATTAGCATATGCATTATAATAAAATACAACTGAAAAGTATAGTTATGAAGGCACATATTTAGCCTATATTCCCCCAAAAAAGGTTCTATTTTCAATCAATCAATCAATAAATAAATAAATAAAAACAAAAACATACTTTTAGTACCGCACTGGGCCTTAGATTTTACTGGGAAACCTGGGGTGATGACAGGGTCACTCTGACTTGTCTACCTGGGAGCCGCAGAGAGCCACTTGTGGAAAAATCCTCACTGCAGATGCCTTTAAATTTCTAGGGAAGTTATCTGTTTGGGAGAGAGAGGAAAGTGGCCTTGGGAAGCACAGTGGATCTTCTCTGCCATTAATTGTCCCATTTCATTAAAAACTGCCTTGCCCTGGCTGGAGCATCGTCAGTATGCCAAAAAGGTTGTGGGTTGGATCCCCTGTTGGGGCCAGTAGAGAAAGCATCAATTCATGTTTCTGTCTCACATCAATGTTTTTTTTTTTCTCTCTCTCTCTCTTTCAAATCAATTTTAAAAAGATTCTTGGGTGAGGATTAAAAAAATAAAAACTGTCTCACATATGTACACCCATAGACACATCTATATAAACATCCATCCTATAACAAATTTTCACTGTATTTCCAGATTTAAACAGTATTGAACCTAGAGAATCTTCATATATCATAAAACACATTTTATAATTAAACTTCAAAATGGTCTATCTGCGGAGATCACCTCCAAACCACTTCCCACCGGCAAACATCAGGCGCTTACCGTTGTCGAGTACCACGTCCACAGCCACGGTCGTCAGGTCCTGCGTGCATGCAGCCCGGGCGTCCTCAGTAGGAGCGATGAATGTGCTAAGTCCAGTTAGTTTGTTGATATAAACCATTCTTCCAAGAGCTACATCAAAATGCTGCTGCCAATCCAAAGAACATGCATTTGACTCTTCGTTTTCAGAATGAGTCCTCACTATAGATTCCTCACTCTGAACACAAGTTCCATTTGGGTTGGCTGTGGAATTGTCTGTGCGATTCACTAACACTCCACTGGGAGATTTAGGACTTCCCACCTGTTGTTCTGAAGCTGTAAGAACATCTGAATCTTTATTATTAACTGCAGGATTATTATAGGGTAATACCAAATTTGTTTCTGATATCACAGAGTTCTCTGTTGTACTGTTATTAGAGTATGTTTCATTATCTTTATTGAAGGACTTATCCTGTGTGACAGAGTCTGACATTGGGATAATGACACTCTCTGTTTTTTTAAGCTCATTTTTAAATAATATACAAGAATCCAGGGATAACCCATTGTACAAGTCACTGTCTTTCTTACTGGAATCTGATTGTGGAAGTTCAAGAAAATGACTCATCATCTCCACTGCTTGAGTTTCTCTTTCAGAACCTTTCATTCTGGATAATTTACAGGCTAGTGATTCAGATGACTTCTCAACAACCAAAGGTTTTCCATTAAAATGAGGTAGATCCCTTAGTGTCACAGAACTTTCTCTGAAGCAAGGCATCTGTTGTTCCAAACAGTCTTCATCCTTGGAGAACAGCGAGTTTTCTGAATACAGGATGTGACTTTCTGGTTGACAACTACTATTTGAATCACTGTGTCTCACAGCAGTGACTTCACATGGATCACAGTTGTCTAAGTGGTTTCTGCCTCTCTGTGGAATGTCAGGTTCAATCGGAGGACTGAGATTGGTAGTGATTTCAAAATTATCATGTTCCTCCACTTCGGCATTTAGAGGATTTTTAACCTTCCCGTACTGCCTCTTAAACTTTTCCAAAGACCCTAGTTGTGAATTTAAGCTTAGCTTCTTAGGGGCTATGGGTCTGGAGGAGCCAATTAACTCACCTTTTCTTTTATTACCATTACACCAAGAATATGCAGTTTTTGGTATAGGTTTGTTCTCTAGCCTATAACTTATATTTGTTCTGCATAATTTTCTGTTGGGCAGTTGAACAAATTCTTTACTTAAAGCACTGGTGAAATCTTTGCTGTTTGGAGTCTCAACGGAATGGCATGCTCTACTTCCAAATGTTTCTTTGGCACTCGCAGGACCAGGCTGGACACAATTTTTAAATACATGTTCTGTTTCAGCTGGTTTAGTTTGCTCACTCTGTACTACATGAGTTATAAAGCCAGTGGAACATAATTTAATTTGCCCATAACTAAAAACATTTATTCCTCCACAATTACCAGGTTCTTTTTTTCTTTTCTCTTCCTCCCACTGAGCACCATGTACTCTCAGTGATGCTGTCTCAAAATGAAGAGGCTGGCATCCAATTTCAGCAGCACCTTTAAATGTCTCTAGTTGATTCTCAATTCTCTTCTTTTTCGGGATGTCAGCAGCCATGCCATTAACAGTAGTACCTACTTTCTGTATTTCTAGATCTTCTCCATTCTCTTCAAAGCAATCTAATGTCTGAAAAGGGCTTGTGAACATTTCTAAACCGGTTCCACATGGATTTTCTGAAGAGTTAAGTTCCAAGCAAGATTTTTTATGTTTTGCATTTTCTCTCGACTCTGACGCTTCAGCTTTCTCTTGTTCTAAGATGCTTGATTCTGAGCAAGAGTTATCTTTGTTTTGTAAAGTTGACTCTGTCATTTCACTACAACCTGGGCCATCTGATCCATACATATACAAAAATGAATCATTTGTCCTTTTTCTGATAGTTTCTGAATCCCCAGAATTCTGTGTGTTTATGTTTTCTATAGCTTTTCTTTTTACAGCTTTTGATTGCAAATTAAACATTTCATAGGAATCCAAAATATTATTACATGCTTCTTGGAAACTTACCTGGTCACACTTCTCGTCAGAGGACACATGCTTCTGAAGAGTAGCACTAAGTATACTAAAATCATTATCTTCACTAAATTCCTTAATGTCCTCACCTGATAATTCCACAAACAATTTTTCTTTCTCTAAAAACTTCTTCATTCCTTCCTGAATGCAAACCAAAACTGTATCCCAGTTCTGAAACTCAATCAAAGTTTTTGCAGGCTCTATGCAGACATCATATTCACAGAACTGGCACTGCACGTTGATTACATATATCCCATAGAGTTCTGGGCTAGACCGAGGCCGAGGACTTGAATTCACATGCCTGCTGGCAGAGCCAGTTTTTGGCTTGCATATGACACTTTCTTTCCTTAATAAAAAGTCGATGAGTTTATGCAACTTCGTCCTTAAAATCAGCCTTTTGTTCACAAACAAAAACTGCATATTCTTATTGTAATGGGCTTCTGAGCTGATGTAGCCACTAAGCTCAAACTCCTTATATTTAAAATTTATTTCTCTTAATTTTTGGGACTTACCTAGTCCATAAATTTGACAAAACCGGGAACAGATGTCTTTGGTTTTAGGGAGTTGAAGAATCATGGAACCGGAAACATCATTTCTCAAAGAGAAAGAAACAGAAGGATGCATGAGTGAGAGAGCTTCTATCCTCTGCCGAACCTTCTCGAACTCCAGTCGAGGATCCATGCGTTTCCTCCTTACAGGTAACTGATAAAACAGGTTGTACACTGTTACTGTGGTCCCAGCACTTGGCCTAATCAAGTCAGCTTCACAAGCTTTCAGGGCTTTTCCATTCTGAAACAGTTTCACAAAAGTTTTCATTGTCCCGTTTTTCTTGGATGAAATTTCCACAGCGCTGGCCATGTTCGATATACTGGCCAAGGCCTCCCCTCGAAAACCATAAAACCTCGGGTTCTCCAAGTCCTGTAGAGAGTTGCATTTACTAGTAAAATAACGATTTCCCACCTTGTCTATGTCATCGCTCCCTACCCCAAATCCATTGTCTATCACTTGAACTTGGAAGGTTTCCACATTCACTCTCACAGCCACACATTTTGCTTCAGCATCAATACTGTTGAGGGCGAGCTCCTCCACACACTGGCCTAAGGAGCATACAGCCAAACCAGAACGCAGTTTGGCTCGTACTTCATTGGACAGGCACTTGATCATGGCAGGTAGAAAGCCAGTGCGAATGCCAGGCTGCGGTTTCCTTCTCTGACTGCAAGTAATCGCCTGGGGGGAGAAAAAAAAGACACACGTGCACATTACCAAAGCTTCAGAGTTAACACAGCATTACCCATTTCTCTGAAGCACCAGGAAAAAAACATCATCTGATGCAAATGAAATCTCTTATCAAGCCATGTAAAGCAAAACAAAACAAATTACAGCTCTGATCTCTTGGCAGATCACGCAGCTCATGTTGGAGGCAACAGATTTAACATCCAAAGCAGCACTGATAATTTCATAATTTTCACCGGTTCCTTCTACATTCCACATGCCCTAAAGTGAAATCATACTCACATCTGAAGTTAATCCGTGAAGACAGTGTTTGAAATTCTAATCACTTCACCAAAAACAGATGCCTAAACTCTGCTAAAAAACATTAGCTAGAAATTATTCGCACAAAAAAATCCACACTAGTTTCAAAACATTTATACATTTCACAATAACCATGATTTTTACAACTCATAATAAAGTATGAAGACACTGTAATAAGAAGGTGAAGGAATAGGAGGAAATAAAGTCAAATTATTGTATCAAGAAGAGATGAGCATTAAGAGATTATTAATAACTTTTATTATTATGGTTAAGTGCAGTTACTTCAGGGAAAAAGACAGAATGGGAAAAGATAAGGCAGGAAAATGTCTTTTCATTATGACAGAGACATTTCTCTGTCACTTGATTTTAAATCTTGTTGGTGTATTTTACTTTGACAAAAAGTTTTCACAAAGTTATTACTAGTATCTTTTTACTTTTGGTCTTTACAATAGCCACAAACTACCTTGGCAATAACAATGATAGTAAGGGGCTGCCTAACCTTGATTTTTAAGTATTCTACTAGGTGGGAAACAAAAGGAAAAGAAACATTAAGATTATAGTGCAATGAAAGATCCCCTCTCTTCTTGCGAAGTGAGAGAACAGCAGGGGCTTGACCTCTCGCAGGTGGTAAGGCTAGTTTTTTCGATCCCGAGAAAAACAGAGAGCTGTAATCGCAGATCTGGCGATTTCTAAGCCAAAGTAATATGGCTCTGGGGGATGGGGACGGGCTCGCGGCCACAGACCGCCCCCCTTCACCCCCACGCAGCGCTCAGACTCCACCCCTGCCCCTCCCCCAACTCCCAACCTTAAACCCTGCCCACCCCGACGAGGGTGCGGGAGGGAAGGGAGGCCGTGAAGCCTCTTAGGTGCAGAAAGCTGACCCGCAGCAGTCGCCACTACGCTGCTAGAGTTAGAAGAGCTCCCGGAATCCTCCTTTCGTCCTGTGCTTTTCCCCAAGTCACCTCAAATCCTACTTTATCAACTCCAAATACCAACCGCCACGGACGCCGGCTGCGCGCTCCGTAGTTCCCAAGGCTCGTGCGCGCGCGAGCTCAGAGCATGCGCTTCTGTGATTCGCCGAGAAGTCCTTGTCCTCCGTGACACCCCAAGGCGCACGCGCATTCGTTGGGTCCAAAGATCTTACACTGGTTCCTCGAATCTTTATCCCCTCTTAGTATGGTGTGAAAAACTATCTTTAGAAATTTTTACGTTTGTTTGTTTTCTTTTTGTTTCTCCTTTGCACGTACCATGCTCTCCTTTGCACGTACCATATTTAATTCAATATATTATTTTATTTGTCTTTTCTCACTAGAATGTAAGCAATAGGAAGGCACGGGTTTTGTCTGTTTTGTTTACTGCTGTATCCCTATGGCCAAGAACAGTGCCTGGCTTAAGTTAGGCACTCAATGAATGAATAAATCTAGAACCTCCTATATTATGAAATTATATATTGTTAAAGAGCTGGGAAGACTGAGAAACTACCTCCCCAGTCTCAATTAACAGATGAGGACGCCAAGACGCCCTTCACTGCTTTTTTGGATGTCTTCCTGATACCACCGCAGCTGCTTTTCTAACAGAATGAGAACGGAATCCTAAGAACACTGACAATAGGCAATTTGGGGATTACTAACTGTTAGCTGTCTCACTTTCATTGAAACATTTTAAAAAATTGGAATTTGTGACAAATTTGTGAAATTTGACATATACCTGTTTAATGACTGGCCAAACCAATCAAGAGATTTCTGGGGCTAATGAAGCACAATCCTGATTGTTGCTTGTATTAGTTTGCCACAATAAACCACCACTGAGTGGCTTAAACTACAGATATTTTGTCCGAGTTCCAGAGGCTAGGAGTCTGAGATCGAGGTATGAGACATGGCTGATCTCTGCTGCAGACTCCCTCCTGGTCTTGCAGATGGCTGTCTTCTCCCTGTCTTGGGTTCTCCCCACTGTGCATGCACATCAGGTTCCAAATCTCCTCTCCTTATGAGGACACTGGGGCAGGTTGGACTAGGGCCCACACTAATGGCTTTGTTTAACTTTAATCACCTCTTTAAAGGTGCTGTCTCCAAATACAGTCACATTCTGAGGTACTAGGGGTTAAGACTTTAATGTATGAATGAGGGGGTGCATAATTTAGCCCATAATGTTGCTTTTTGTGAATTCCTTTCCCAAGGAAAATGAATGACAGCAGAAACTCGAGAAAACTAGTTAGTCCAAAACATCATTTGAGCAGCTAACAAATTGAACTTTTCGGCATTTGTTTTTTTTAGGTGTGCAATTTCAAGAAGAAAACTTCATGGTGACCATTTAAAGAAATGATTCACAAAGTAACTAACTTTTTCTTTCAGACCTCTTTTTAATTGCTTCTTCTTTTCTTTTGCCGGGGGGGGGGAGAAAGAGAGGGAGAGAAACAGTGTGAAAGCAGCATCGATTGGTTGCCTCTTACACCTGCAGCAATCAAACCAGAGACTTCTCTCTACAGGGAGATACCCAACCAACTGAGCCACACTGGTCAGGGCCACACGTCTTTACCTCAAAATTATCTTCCCACAGATGCCTACTGAGTAAATACTTCTTATATTGCCCCAAATGAAGTTCACCCTACACAGATGGATCTGATGTGTTTTTATTAGAATTGTGTACAGTTGTAATCCTCCCTTCCATCATACATATCATATACAGTAATACTGAAGTGTCTAACACTAAAATAACTTACTAAAAATTCTAATATTGAACTCAGAATAATTCTATCTCTATTAACAATAAAAAACAAAACAACTGAGTTTCTCTTGGAAAATTTAAATTCAGGCCATTATTTTATGATTTGGAAATCCGAGTAATCCAACTTTAAGATGACTTTCTCATTGTTGAAGTCTGCTCTGTCGATGTGTGATTTGGGACTTCCTCTTGTTTTAAGCCACTCCTGCATGTGACGCACTTTGGAGATGGGACCTTGCAATTGTCCTTGCACTGTACCCTGGTCAGTGTTCTGGACCCATCCTACCAATCCCAGCTTTTTACCCTCAGCCTAAGGGAAAAGAGACAAAAAAAAATGAGAGAAATCCAGTGAGATTAAACAAAACAAAATGAGACTATAATCTGTTGCCAGAATCTTGGCTTAGAATCAAGCCACTGAAACTAATCTGATATTGTCCAGAACAGTCAAAACAGAATGGCAAGAAGAATCTCATTGCTGATTTAATATAAAGTGTTGGCCACTTCACTTCATTTCCTTCTACCCTATAAAACCCAGGCACCAGAATTTTTTAATGACTTAAGACCAAATCAGATGCTTTCAAAATGATTCCCTAAGGCTAAATGCTGTTAGAATACTGGGCTGTATCTTGTACATTTTCCCTTCTCCTAATCAAGAATCTATTGGGTATATTAAATAGAAAAAGCATGAAGTTATCTAATCCTTCTCTTTGTCTTTAACCAGGGCCACGCCTAAACAAATCCAGATGAATAAGGGCCCATTATATCTTGAAAGATCATTAGAAAGTATTTCACAATTTCTTGTGCAACTCATTCCATTGTTCTCCCAATAGAGAAACTGTCTAACCCACTGTCTTTATGTTGCATCCAAAGCCCACTTTCCGTCATTCTCCTAGAGAAGGAAAAAGCAACTGGTGATCAGCCTCTGAAAAACCAAAGTTTCATGAGATCACATAACTATTAGGTTTGCACTTTACTGTCTTTTCTTCTGTCTAAATAATCATGTCTTTAAAGTTGAGTAAGTTTATGAAGACCACCTAATCATCGTAGTTGCTCTTTTCTTAGCCTTTCCAGTGTTTTCTCCTTTAAGCCATTAAACTGTGGAATCGCCAAACATTTGAAAAGGTACTGATGTTTTAAGAGGTAATTTCATTTTTGTAAAGTTTCCAAGTAAGGATATTATAAAAGTTATTGTTAAAGTAATCTATCTAAATAGAAGGGATTGGATTCCAAAAGAAAATGGAGTTTACATGATCGCACACCCAAATGCCAGAGTAGTGACCTAGTAATTGTGGGAAGCTGCTGGAGTTGGCCAAAGAAAATGTTATGCGTGGCAAAAACCACGTTTGATGAGGAACTGAAGTATCCATCAAATCTTATGTTCAAAGCAAAGACATAATGCATAATGAACAAAAGAGACTAAAGTCAAATAACAATTTATGGGACACAGAGGAAATTAAGGAATGAAGAAAATAGGAGGTACCTACAGTATGCATTAAATGCAGAAGATGTCAACATAAAAAAATGCGGAGAATGGATTTTGAGGAAAACTCCACAACCAACTGACTTTGTATAACAACTGCACTCTTTTGCTTCAGATTAACCTGGGGAAGCTGGCTAGCCCTAATTCTCAGAGTTACATTATATGGTAACCAGCTATAAAACTGATTGTACTGAGTCTTGAGCACAAGGTTGTAACAGTCAAATAAGTCTTTAAATTGCAATGTGATTTATTTGAACTCCTGAACGTGAATAAAACACTTCCAACGTTGGTGGTGAGAATGGGAATTTCCTACGGGTTTTATTTGTGTGCTCAATTCTGTTCCTACGTTTTAAATGATGTCATAATGTTTCTGATTTGTTTTCAGTTTTGAGTATCTGTCTAAACAATAAACAGCATTTTTTTCTTAAGAAAATTCCAAAAAGCTAATTCACCCTTATTTTAGAAACATTTTAAGGAATATATTCACCAACTCTATTCTCAATCTAAAAAGAAAGCCCCCTTAAATCAATAACTTAGACTTCTACCTTAGAAAACTAAAAAAGTAAGAGCAAACCAAGCCCAAAATCAGAAAGAAGGAAATAATACAATTAGAGTAGGAGTTAATAAAATAGAGACTATAAAAGAAAACAGAAAGTCAACGAAACCAAAAGTTGGTTTTTTAAAAAGATCAACAAACTTGCCCTGGCAAATGTGGCTCAGTTGGTTGGAGCATTGTCCCATAAACCAAAAGGCTGAGGGTTTGAGTCCTGGACAGGGCCCAAGCCTGGGGTGTAGGTTCAGTCCCCCAGTCAGGGTGCACGTGAGAGGCAACCCACTGATGTTTCCCTCCCTCTTTCTCCATCCCTCTAAAAATAAATAAATATACTCTTTTAAAAAAGTTTCATAATTCAACAAGAAATTCAACTAAAAATGGGCAAAGGATTTGAATAGACACTTCTTCAAAGAAGATACACAGTATCTTTTTTTCATGTGCCAATGAGCACATGAAAAGATGTTCAACACCATTAGTCATTACAGGAAGGCAAACAAAACCACGGTGAGAATAAATACACATGCTGGAATACCATCCAGCCTTCAAAAGGAAATCCAGACAAATGCTACAATACGGATGGTCCTTGAGGACACAAGGCTAGTAAAACAAGGCGGTCACAAAAGGACAACTACTGTATGAGTCCACTTATGTGAGGTACCTACAGTGGCCACATTCACAGACAGAGAGGACAACAGTGAATCTGTTCTTGCTGGATGGGTACAGAGTTTCAGGCAGCGTTCTCTGGAGGGAGGGTGATGATGGCAGCATAACAATGTGAACGCACGTAAGGTCACAAAGTCACTAAACTGTACTAAAAATGGTTAAAATGGTAAATTATTCTTTACATATGTTTTACCACAGTGAGATACCACTTCACACACACTAGGATGGCTCCAATAAAAAAGATAGGTAATGACTGTTGGCAAGGATCTGGAGAACTGAAATTCTTAAACATCATTAGTGGGAATGTAAAATGATGCAGCTGCTTTG